AAATTTTTGAAAATGCAAACTATCTATAGTAACAGAAAGCTGATCAGTGGCTGCCTCAGACCAATTTGGGGAGCCACTGGGACAAATGATTACAAAGGGCCATGAGGAAATTTTTGGAGATGATGGTGATGAATTTGTGATCGTGGTGATGATTTCATGAGTGAATACATGCGCCAAACTCAACAAATTATACATTTTAAATATATTCCATCTATTGTACCTCGATAAATTTATTTGTAAAACCCAGGTCACTAGGCCCATGAGGTGTGCATCTCATAGGGCTCTCAATCAGCAGCATGGGTGATTCAATCAGGTGTTCTCTATGGGAATTATTCAAATACATAAAGAGAGCTCAATGACAAAAAGCCAGCAAAATGTTGATGTTGCACATATTAGTATCAATATTTCCTCTTATCAAACTCCTAGGAAGAAAATAAAGTCTATATATTAAATTACCTTTCAAGTTAATGTCCAAAGACCAAAAAAGCAAAACCCAGAATCGAATTCTCTTGTCCTTATAAAAGTCCAATGAAATTAAAGTCCTTCCCAGTTTCTTATTTTGTTCCCTCACAGCCAGAAATGTTCTTAATGCCTAGGTGGACTTCTACAGCAGTTGCAGCCTGTGTGTCTTTCTTGGGGATAGAACTGACTCATTCAGCTCCTCAAAAGTTAAATTAATTCAACATCAAGCCTATGGTGTGTTTCAATTTTTAAAAGGTCTAAAGAATAGAACACCCAAGATTATCATATCACTTGCCTCACATCCACAAAATTTAAAAAGCAGTTATCCTGGAAAAATTATGTTTCCAGAACGCCGTAACTGTTATTGCCAAATACAGTATGTATCACAAACTCTATAGTAGAAACTCATGGATCTGTAGGAAGGAGAAGAGTGGGGATGGCTTTAGCCTTATCAGAATGCCAATCAGTTATGCCAATTCTCCATATTGTGCAGGTCAGTGACCTTCACACTTAAACTAAATTGGAAGACATTTTTCAGCAAGAAGTTAAATTTATCACCATGCATTTAGCATGGCACACTGTATCATCTCTCTCAGAGAGTGGCATTTGAGACACTGGTGCTATCTTGTAAAGTATAGATTTGCAGTGGTGCAGTCCTAATCACTAGGTCTCATTTGCCATTCTGATCTTTCCCATCTAGTATATTCAAAATCTCTATTTTCAAAATTTGTCTTTTACATTGCATTTTAATGATTGGCATGAGCAATTTAAACCTTGAACTTCTCTAGAAGTCTGTATTGTATACAAGTCCTCTGCCTTGAAGTTTAAGAGCAGCAAATACTGATATAGTCACTCATATTTAGCGTATTTATAAATATTTTTTCTATCATTAAATTCTTGCCTCAAATGAGATTGCTTTCTAGTGTCTCTGCAGCTTCTGATGAGGCCCCTTATGCTCATCCATGAATTTAAATGTAGTTCAAGGTCAAGCTGCAGTAGCCTGCACCCTGAGGCTGCCTGCACTTGTCAATGCCTGCTAACACAGTAGCCCCCCCTTATCTGCGGAGATTACGTTCCAAGACCCCCAGTGGATGCCTGATATCTCGGATAGTACCAAACCCTATATATACTATGTTTTTTTCCTATACATGCACACCTATGATAAAGTTTAATTTATAAATTAGGCACAGTAAAAGATTAACAATAACATAGTAAAATAGAACAATATACTGTAATAAAAGTTATGTGAATGTGATCTCTCTCTCAAAATATCTTATTGTACTGTACTTACCTTTCTTCTTCTAGTGATGACGTGAGATGATACAACGCCTAGGTGATGAGATGAAGTGAGGTGAATGATGGAGGCATTGTGACGTAGCCTTAGGCTACTAACCTGAGGATAGGTCAGAAGGAGGATCGTCTGCTTCTGAACCTCGATTGACTGGGGCTAACTGAAACCGAGATCTGAAAATGTTAAATAGAAAATTCCAGAAATAAACAATTCATAAGTTAAATTGTGCACCATTCTGAGTACCGTGATGAAATCTCACGCCATCCTGCTCCATCCCACCCCGCCCTGGACGTGAATTCATCTAGTGGATCCACGCTGTACACGCTACCTGCCCGTCGGTCACTTAGTAGCCCTCTTGATTATTAGATCAACTGTCGCAGTATCGCAGTGCTTGTGTTCAAGTAACCCTGCTTTTACTTAATAATGTCCCTGAAGTGCAAGAGTAGTGATGCTGGCAATTCGGATATGCCAGAGAGACATAAAGTGCTTCCTTGAAGTGAAAAGATGTTTAGTTCTCCACTTAATAAAGAAGCAAAAAAAATCGTATGCTGAGGTTGCTAAGATCTATAGTAAGAATGAATCTTCTATCCGTGAAATCTTGAAGGAAAAAGAAATTCATGCCAGTTTTGCTGTCACACCTCAAATAAGCATGTATAGGAAAAAAACATAGTATATACAGGAGTCAGTACTATCTGAGGTTTCAAGCACCCACTGAGGGTCTTGGAACGTATTCCTCATGGATGGGGGTACTACTGTACCAGCACTGCTGGGGTAGCTCACTAAACTTCATCTTGGCGGGCATCAGCTGAGACGGCCCGGGAGGCCAGCCTTTGGGAACACCACTCCCACATTCTGTGCCTTTGCTGAAGCCTGTGTCTCTACCATTCTCACGCCACACCTTGCTTCTTTCTTGAAGCCTAGACACTTCTGCTTAAGGCCCAATACTGCACCCTACCTCTGCGGAAATAACCAATTTTCTGTGGACAAAGCCACCCTAAACTTCAGGTTAAAATCTCATGAGACTTTTAAAGCATTTTGCCAAAACCTCAGCAATTAAAAGGATTAAAAGCCTACTGCACATTTATAAAAATCAAATTAATGACCCAGTATAAGCCTCTACAAACTGTCAAGGTCAAAACTCCATATGTACACATTCAGGTCTGGCGACCCAAAGCTTTTCCACTCGTACATTGTGTTCCCTCAAATTTCATTCCGATTTATTTCTCGACAGACTGACCCAGTCAGCACAAATTGGAGTTTTAGATGTTACATTTCGCAAAACACAGGCCTCTCCCCTGCTCTGTCCCTATCCCCATCCACCTCCTACCCTTCCTTAATACAGCCTGTTCTTTACGATTTTCAGTATGAGAATAGTAATCAAGAGTACACGCACTGTGCAGGCAGGCCAGGTCCTCTCCCAAACTTACCATTTAGGTAAGTCATTACCTCCCCGGGCAGAACAAGTAAGAACAGTAAGGAGACCAAGGGTGTTAGGCTGATGGTGCCCTGTTCATACGGAATGAGACATTGGCAATGGATAGGAAGTGTTAGCCCCACAGGTAATGACAATGTACATATAGCATAACTATTTTTTAAGACTTTTAAATAAGCTTTTCAATACATCCCAAGCTCTCTTCCCTTTGTGATTTTCTTCACGCCGTCTTCACCTGTAATTCTCAACCTTGAAGGCTTTTCTCACATGCCGTCTCATCCACGACACTTTCCCTGATGTCCTCAACCAGATGAAACGTCTCAGAAGTCTGAGGCCCTGGTTCACTGCTTTGCAAAACCTGGTCTGAGGACCAACCACAACAGAATCACCGGGGTTGCTTGTGACAACATCTATGACTGAGCCCATCCATGCTGTCCGATTCTCGGGGCAGGGCTCTTGAACGTGTATTGTACGCAGCTCTGTTGGTGGTTCTCTGCTGCAGTCAAGTCTGAACCTTTTGTTTTGTACCTGATCGTCACTGATTACTTTTTGTCCTGTGATGTTATTTGGCATTTACTGCGCTCGAAGTTCCTTAAAGGAAAGAATCTTTTTTTTTTTAAGAATAACTCCTTAACATGGACCTTGAATATGTAGCAGCTGCTCAACAGTCACTAAAATGAACTTAACTAATTTTTACTCATCTCTCAAAAGGATTAGATCTCTTCCTGTGTTTTGCCCCACCCTGATAAAGTGTCTAGAAGTAAAAGAAAAACATATGTGAAAGCATTATAAAGCAATTAATGGAAATATTTTACTCTGCTTCACAATGTACTGTCTTCACCAATGTAGCCAAATTTAGGCTTTCTCAGTTTCTCGTTTTAAATGTAACATAATGTACTGCAAATTTCTAAGCACTGTTTTCTATGCAATAAAGAATTTCTCTGTAGTAAGCTGTTTCCTCAGCACCTCCTATTGCACTTTTAAAAGCAGAGTGTGGACTCCCTAAAACCTTAATGCAATATCAGGCCGCAACTGTTACCATTTATAAAACTTTATTATACAATATTTTACAGATAGTATTGTACGGTCCTCTTGTTTATGATGATGGCAGTCAAGCTTTTCTCACTTTGCAGCGATTACAAGGAGGCAGGAAGAGCAGCAGTATTCCAGCACTCTCCCTCAGCTCACAAAGGTACCAGCACAGACAACACTGCTAATGCCTGGTGACAATGTTCCTACACAATGGGATCCCACAGGATCTGGAAAGCTTAATTCTCGCTGTGACGCTGCTGGCTTTCCATCATCATTCAAAAGATCTTACACTAACAAGTTGCGTACTTCCACTTAAGAGGCTGTTTATAAACATCAGACTCTGAATTCTTACACCAAACTCTGCTTTGTATAAAGACCACATTGTAATCTGGTGGGAGGATAAGCGTTTTACCACCCAGGTGGCCTGCTCTCAGGTTTCTGGAAAGCCCTCTGTAAGATGTACTTAATTTAAAATAAATTGATTAAAAAGTCCAAGGGGAGTCTTTGCCCCTTCATTTTTAAAATGAATTTTAAAACCACAATAGTTGATTACTAAATTTAAACATTTCATTGAAATGATTCATTGAAAGCTCTACTCCCTTATTTTTAAAACATTTTATTTCATCTGAATTTCATACAGAAATTTATTTCATCTGAATTTTATACAGGTACAAAAGTATTACATGCTTGAACCTGTTGCTCAGATAGAAGGTTCTTTCAGTTCTTCAGACCAACCTTCCTTCAGAGGCAAATAAATAAGAAACAAATCATACTATGTAGAGTATATATCGAAAATTTTCTTTTACAAGAACAAAAATATTTTGACATTTCATATTTAGTACAGCTTAGCAATCCAGTTTATGTTGACAAATTTAGTTAATTATTAGGAGGTAGAGCACATATACAAAAGAACTCAATAGATAGTAGATATTTTAACCCTTGATTAAGGACAACACGGCTGATTTAATTTTTTTCTTGTATTTTTTTAAGAAGATACTCCATTTGTAAATTCAAGTTTGGTTGGCCCTTTTTAGTCTTTTTGCTCAATATTTTGAACACTTCCATTTTCTTCTTTTTGTAGAGCCTTTGAGCTTCTTCTCTCTCTTGTTTTCTCCTCTCAAATTCCTGAAATTATTAACATATGTAATTAACACCTAATGTAAGATATGTAACTAAAGTAGTGTACCCTCTTTGCCTTTACACTATATCACATGCTGTAACATATAAGGTTATCTAGTCCATATAACACTAAAATCTTCATTTCCAGAACATCTGGTATTCTTTTTAATTTGCCATCTGACAATTAGTTCAAGAAGCATTTATTGATGACATATGCAAAACACTGTGCTAGGCATTATGATTTTGATCATTTAAGAATTATCATGATCATCTGATTTGCTAAGATAAAGACTCAAACTCATGTGAGTATAAGGAAAAATAATTCAAAGTCATATACAGACCCGAAAAGCACTACTTGAAATACACTACAGTATTCTTACTAAATTAAAAAGTTAAAACAAAAGTTCTTAATGCAATACGAACGCTGTTTTTCAATTTCCCCTGTAATACATATAGCCCCAAATGACACAGCCTTACATTTGTATGGTGACATAATTAACAAAGTGCTTTCACATACATCACAGCACATTCCATTCTTTTCCAACCTTTTACGCTGTTACTGTCTTCACCTTACAGACGAGCAGCTGAATGCTCAATCACACTGAAAGTATCTCGCCCAAGATCCCAAATAACTGGAAGAGCCAAGTCTCATACCCAGATCTTGTGAATTCAAAGTCTGTAAACTTCTCCATCATGCTACGCTGTATCACTTACCCATGTTCTCCTATGATATAGTGCTTCACTTACTTTTTTCTGTGTGTGTGAGGAAGATCAGCCCCGTGCTAACATCTGCCAATCCACCTCTCTATTTATTTATTTATTTTTGCTGAAGAAGACCAGCCCTGGGCTAACATCCGTGCCCATCTTCCTCCACTTTATATGGGACACCGCCACAGCATGGCTTGCCAAGTGGTGCGTCGCTGTGCGCCCGGGATCTGAACCGGTGAACCCCGGGCCACCGTAGTGGAGCGCGCACACTTAAGCGCTTGTACCACCAGGCTGGCCCCTATACTTCATTTATTTTAATAAGCACACAAGCATCTGGAACTTATTTGTGAATTTAGGTATATGGAGTCTAGTTTACCTTTATAGAGTTTCTCTAACAAAGTTAAAAAAATTTAAATAGTCTTACCATGTATTATGGGTCTTTATTTAATTAATGTTCTTAATTTTGATTTCTCATGGATAATGGTATTGATTTTTATACTAACATTTGATACCTGCAAGTTCTAAGAAACTGTCAATTTTCATGATTACAAAGCCCTAGCATTTATATATAAAGGAAATTTGAAAAGAATATTAAATGTTTTACATACAATGGTCTGTACTGTACAATGGGCCTTACTTCACCTGGTATACTATTTCCAAAGGTGGCAGATAACAGACAGCTGGTTAGACAAAAGCATGATGTAACAAGCTAAGAAACAAAGGTCCAGAATAATTTCCATGAAGAAATGTTTCTGCTTCATCCTAGTCTGTCATCAGTTTAAGAAGAATCATAAGAATTTTAGATGTTAAACTTCCAGATTTCTTATTTACACAAACTCTAAAAGCTAAGACATAAAAGAAATCATATGACAATGCCATCTTTGGGGTATTTTTGATTGATGTCCTATCCTTTTTAAAGTGATAGATTAATAGAGCTTCAACACAAAAAGTAAGAATTAACCACAGATTAAACAAAATAATTTTGTTGAAGCTGTGAATAATTTTGTTCTACTCAGTTGAAAAATGCATTATAATTTTGAGTTTCTGAATGATAATACAGAGTGATAACTTTTTGCTAACTTAATGTAGTAGGATTTTTAATAGGCAAGACCAACTCTTTAGAGTAAAGAACTATTTTATTCTAACACCTCCCTCTGGCTTTTACTTGCTTCAATGTAAAATTGTGGAAATCATCTATATTTTTCTTAGGTCAGTTCTCCAATTTTATTATCCATAAGAATCTCTTGAGGCAGCTGTTGAAAGTGCAAGTTCCTAGACCAAACTCTTGAGAAACATAATCCCAGATGCTCATATTATTAACCTATGAACAACATCTTTAAAATCCTATTTTTGAGCTATCAGTATCACCTCTCAAGGATGATATAAACAATCAAGGAATTTGAATATGTTGAAATTCCTCAGCTCTACTCAGACCATTCATTTACTAACAAATATTTATAGAGGGCACACTATGTGCCCCATACTAAGAAGCATACATATACATTTAGGATAAATAAGGAAAAATGAAGCTAAATATTTTAAAAGTAGATCTTACTTGTTTCTTAGCAGCACGCTTAGCTTGTACCCGTTCATATTCTTCCTGTGCTTTCTGATTTGATGTTTTCTTTTTATTTTTCTTTGGAATAGTAATGGAGCTTTGTAAGACAAAGTAAGACAAGTCACAGGGATTAAAAATGATATAACCAAAATTATGACACAATTATGTCAAATATAGTATTTGTATAATAAAATCTCACTAATGCAAATTAATAGGGGGGAAGAGAGGTTGGAAGAAAGAGGACATTAATCTTATTAATAAAATGTCCAAGTAACATATTAAAAACATAGTTACAGCTTTCAAGATATAATTAAAAAGTGGTAAATGGAGATTCTTGGAGAAATATTTCAATTAGGAAAATACAGAAAGCTTTGAAAGATCCTAAAATATTAAAAAAAAAAATAAAATTAACAAAAACCAAAAAAACCCAGGAAACCAGCACACGAATGGCAGAAATGACAGACTGAAAAAGGCATTAAATTCAAGGACGTGATGGAAGTTGCAGATGTACATGAACTTTAATCCCAAAGTTCTTTGACCAACTCATCTCTATTCCATTTCATCTACTCAGTCATGAATGGCCACACCTTGGACCTAGTCCCCATTTAGAACTACTCTATCTTAAAGTACTTCTCACCTCTCTGAAGGTGTCCTATTGCCTAAGCTAATTCAACCCCTTAGGTCCCGATTCCATCCACTTCCTCAGGATATCTAATTCAATAATAATCTTCCTTTTCCTTATCTCTCAATTTTCACTACACCAACACCATAACCACAATATAACATATTTCAGCAGCTCCCTTCTCAAGGTAAACAAATGCATAAATTACTCATCACCAGACTCTGTCTCCTCTTCTAACTACCCGTCTCTCATCCCTTGTCCTTTCATAGTCATAGTCAAGTATCTAGAAAGAATAGTGAATAGACTACGATGGTCACTTCCCATTCACTCCTTAACTCTTTGCAATCTGAATTTCGCTCTCACCACTCCAACGAAACTGCCCATGGCAAGAGAGTGATGACTTTCTAGCAAAATATGATGATCGAGTCCACGGCTACTTTTCAGTCACATTTAATTGACCATTCACTACTTCTGAAAATTCCACTCCCTTTGTTTTGGTGATGTTCTTCTCTCTTGATCCTCTTTCTCTTCCTTGCTCCAGGTTTTCCCCCAAGTGTTTCTCTTGTTGGTCTCCACACTCTTGAGGCAGTCATATCCTTGACTATGGCTTCAGATGCCACACATATGTAAGGCTAAAAACTTAATCACGGTTATTGAAAATCTCTAAAGTCACCAATGATTGCCTAGACCACAAATGCAAAGACCTCCTCTCAGTTCTTTTTCTCTTGGACCTTACAGTATTTTACAGTCGACCAACCTCTACTTTGTACAATGCTCCTCTGCTGACTCAGCTGTCACTGTATTCCTCTTTCTCCAATTATGACAGTTCTATTTAACTTCTTCAATGACAACTTTTTCCTGCTTTCACTTCAAAATAAATAATCTTTAAGAATATAATTTTTGGGCCGGCCCCGTGGCTTAGCGGTTAAGTGCGCGCGCTCCGCTGCTGGCAGCCTGGGTTCGGATCCCGGGCGCGCACCGACACACCGCTTCTCCGGCCATGCTGAGGCCGTGTCCCACATACAGCAACTAGAAGGACGTGCAGCTATGACATACAACTATCTACTGGGGCTCTGGGGGAAAAAACAAATAAAAATTATTAAAAAAAAAAAAAAGAATATAATTTTTACCTTTGTATCTTGACCATGATTTAACCCTTCTCACTTCAATTATCACCGGGAATGACTCAAATCTACATTTTTAGTGCTAATCTTTTGCCACAGCTTTACATCTACTATCCGATAATAAGATGAACAAGCCTACTGAAAAAACTGAATTTTTAGTGTCTCTGTCTTCATCCTTGGCTACACTTTTTCCTGAAGTCCATTTCCTGTTACTTTTACCACAAATAGTTCACAACTTTAAAGGACAGAATTTTAGTAAAGTAAAAAGTTATGGTCCCAAACAACAACTGGCTTCTCTGAAAGTTTAGATTTTAGTTGTTTTTTGACCTGAGGTATGTGCAGCGAAAGCTTTATAAGTTAGGTCTTATAAAACCAAAGTTTTTATGGAACTGTGCCATTTGTTTTTTAATTGCAACCAAGTCTACGTCTTCTAGGAAAAAAAAATCCAGATTAACAATACTGTAATAACAGTAGTAGTAGCAACAGCAGTAGTAGGTAACACTCATGTAGCACTTCCCACGTACCATACACCTTTTAAGAAATGAACTTATTTCGTCTTCACGTCATGAGATAGATCAGGGATACCACAGTCGGTGGAATAATCCATTCTGGAGTTGTGCAACACGGCAGCTCTGAAGTACATACTTATTATTATCATTTCCCAAAGAAGAGGACATTGAACACCAACATGTTATGTACAGCTCCACAGTCCATGCTGTTAACCACTTCACTATAATACCTCTCAAAAATTAGTTGTCTGTTTTTTAAACTTATATTAATAATAGGAGTTAATCATGGTCCAAGTAAGTTAAATATACTTGAGAGGCTGAAATCCAAAACCCAGACCTCTTAATTCCCATTCCATTACTTCTTCTATTAAGCTAAACCAGTCTACTTCAGTCATTTAAACTGAAAAGAAAGCCTCCATGCAAATCTTTTCACTTAATTACATCATGACTTCTAAAATGTCTTAAATAAAAAAATTCCAATTCATATACAAATTGTCCTAAATCTCTTTCATAAAACACCACTTATATGTAAAACAAAGGATTTCAAAAGAAGATAATACATACTTTACTCTTACGCTACACTGTTCTTCTGGCTGAGGCTGCTCAATGCTACAGTGTTCTTCAGACAAAGCCTGGTCAATGCTACATTCTTCTACTGGCAAAGGCTGATCACCTTGTTCTTCTGACAAAGGCTGGTCAACTTGTTCTTCTGACAAAGGATGGTCAACTTTTCTAAGTTGCTTCCTGAGTCTTTCTTCTTCTGCTAAATAGAGATGTTTCAGATGATCAGGGTACCGATCTGTGAATTGGGATTCCTGTGCAGTTTGGGCTTTCTTTTCCCTCCACAGCAATTTCTTGTAATTTTGCTGAATCTTCAGTTTTCTTCGAAATGCAAAGCCTTGTCCTATTGAAGAATATCAGTCATAAATTACTTTCTCAGAAAATAAGTTGCATGAAAAATGTAACTGTTGATTTAAAATGAAAAAACTTTTCACACCATCACATTCAGATGCCAGAATTACATTATGTTTTGCTTTAAAAGGTTACTTCAAGAAAACAAGTTTAAGCTAATGGAATGAACAGTACGTCAGTCCTTTGCAAAAAGACTAGTATGTCAGTCCTTTGTAAAAAGACCAGGCTAACAGCCATACAGACACTCAAGAATCTCAAAGAAGGAAAAATGACTAGAGCATAGTACAACTCTAATTTACTGTACTGACAAATCAAAACAAAGTCCTTAATTCATTTAAAACACTTACTTAATCTAGATCTTTAATAAATAATTAAGAAAAAAACCCTCACATTTATTACTTAACCTTAGAGAAACAACTATACGACCGATTTTCTAAAATAACTCAACGCAAAACAGATAACATGGTGTATGACATTCTGAACAGCTAGCAATTATCAGAAGACTGAACTTAAAATTTATACATTCCAAGGGGGATTTGAGGGAACTTACAGACAGCAAGATAAAATGAAAAACACAAACTAAAGCGAAAGAAAGGAAAATAAGACTGGGGGACTTCGGGGTAATCAGCAAGGGTTTGGGGTAGTATATTTCTGGCCCAGCCGTTCTGTCTATCCTTTACCGTATTACATGCACAAGTGGATCCTTAGATGCTCTCTGCTTACAGTTTCACGGGCAAAACGTAGAGGAAAAAGAGTTCTGATCAAGAATGGGGTTAAGTCGGGGAAGATGTTTCAAGATTTAGAGGTAGCAAAAGTGCCTCGTCTTTCCATCCAGAGCTCTGAGAAGGCCACGGCTTCGGCGGGTTTAAGAATGGCTTCCTCTGCCCCGAGGAGGGGCCAGTCTTGTTCCTAAATCCTTCTTGCCCGCTTCGGCGGGTCGCGGATCCTAAGATTTCGCAGGCCTGAGGACTTGTAAAAGGCTGCCTTCTCACATACCCTCGCGAAGGCTCCCCACGAAGGCCTGCGCATGGTTAGGTCGCCACCTCCTCTGTTTCACATTCTGATTCCTGAATCCGACCGGAGAAACTCCTTCACCACGCGTCCCCACACTCCCTGGCCGCCACCTTGCTGCCGGCCTCACCGGCGCCATAGCACACCAACCGCGTCGCCGGAAAACCACAACGGACGCTGTCAAACTACGTCATCAGGCAGAAGCAATCAATCGCCCAAGTAGAGTCCAGATCGAAGTTCTACTTATCTGGCCTGTGCTACTTTCGACCGAGCACTCGCCTTGCGGCCACGTTTGCGCCACCTGCAGCCCGGGAGGGTGAGCGTCATGGCGGCTTCCTGTCCGCTTCCAGTGACCCCGGACCTGTCCACGTTGCGGGCGAAGTTGCAGGGGCTGCTGCGGTTCCTGAGGGAAGCCTTATCCATTTCCAGTGCACATACGGTGGACTTCTACACGGAGTCCGTGTGGGAGCAACTGGTCGACGTGCCCCCGGAGACGGTGCTGGCGGTGCTGGGGAGGTCGGCGGCGCAGATGGAGGCCCGGCCCTCGGAGGCGCGCCCCCTGGCGGAAGCGGAGAGGGAATCAGGTGAATGGCGGGTGGGCGGGGCGGGCAAGGAGCCAGAGAGACGGTCCCGCCCAGCGGAGCCTGCCCCTTAGCGGAAGTCGGGCGGAAACAGGCGAACGGCGGGGCCGGTAAGGCACGCCCTCGCGGGAAGCGGAGGGAGGGCAGCGGCTTAGTGGCTGCGTGGGGCCGAGATGCTTTTCCGGGATCTGTTTGGTCCCTAGGTGCTTGTGTATTTCCACAATTAAAGAGAACTGGAAACAGCGCAGGGCGTTTCTTCGTTTAGTAATTCAACAGTTTTTTGAGTGGAGAGAAACAAGGGGAACAGTGCTCTCACAATGCTTATAGATTCCATGTAGAAACACCGCAGAAGATAAATCAACACTTAACGAAATACATCGAGATAATTTCAAGTGATGATAATGGCTAGGAAGAAAATAAAAACAGTCAAATGGGATAGCGATTGTGTGAGGAGGCTGCTTTGACTTAGGTGCTCAGGAGCCTGAGAAGATGCCAGCCTGCCCTGAGAGCCACAGGAAGGGATTTCAGGACCGGGGACCGCGGAGGCCGCGAGGCACAAAGAGCGGGGCTGGCTGAGGGTCAGGAAGAAAGCCTGAGTGGCTAGAGCCAGGTGCGGGGCCGCAGCACGTGCGGTCAGGGAGGCAGGAGGGGCCGGATCGCGCAGGGCTCTCTCGACCTTGGCAGGATATTGGATTCTAAGTGTGAGGGGAAACCTTTGGAGCCATTTAGTCAATATAGTGACCTAGTCTAACATCTGAAAAGACAAATCTGAAAGGTATTTGAAGAACAGTCTAGTGGGGCAAAAGCTGAGAAGTCCATTTCAGTAGTACAGGAAATAGATGATCATACCGTGGACCAGGATGGTGGTAGTGAGGACCTGGAATATTTACTAGTTCATTTGAAAACTGTCTATGAAGTATCTACTGTGTGCCACGAATTTTTGTAGGCTCTGGGGATTCTTGCCCTCAAGAAACTTATATTCTACTAAGGGGAGTATATTTTGGAAGTATTTTGGAAGAATGATGAGAGGACACCAGCAGACTCCTGGGATTTCTCCTACCTCCCTTCCAGGCATTCTCAACCTTACTCTTGCTGGTGAACTTTATTCATTGAGCTTTCCCTGAATGCAAAGCATCACTAAAGGGGCCTCCTATAGTAGATCTTGGTGAATATTGGTTTCTTGAAAGTCGCTCACTATTTATTGTTGAAAAGTTAGGCACCTCTTCAGTTTGCTTTCATGGTACCTAGTACTTATAATAACGTGGCAACATAAATTCCAAGGGACCAGAGACCATGCCTGGCCTGTAAACTGATGTATTCCCAGTAGCTAGTAAAATAGCTGGCATCTATTAAATGCTCAGTGAATATTTGTTGAATGAATGAATGAATGAATGGATGACTCATGGTAGCCTCCGAAAAAAGAAAAGAAACCACAATTAAATACGAAGCCAAGTCTTCCTGTGAGTTTAGCCTCGTCTTCATACAATGGAAGAATTAGATTGTTTATATATCCTAATAATAATAATAGGATTGATATTTATTATTTACCCTGTAATGTGCTAAGTGTTTGCTTGCATGTTTTCTCTTTTAATCTTTATGTCAGCCTTGCATGATGGGTTCTGTTTTCCCCAGTTTGTGAAATTGCGACTTGAGGCGGTAATTTGCCAGGGGCACAGCTTGTAACGGAGATTCAGACCTGGGTCATCTGATTCTAGAGTCTGAGGTCTTCACCACTGTGATAAAAGTTTACTCTGAATTATTTAGGAATGAATTACAAAATCCATTTATTATCAAAACCAATAGTTTTATGACATGAATACATTCCTTATTTTTTTGTTTTGTGTTTATGGTTTCCCCTTCAAGAATATAAGAATTGTCTCATTCACTGCTGTGTCTAGTGCCTAGAACAGTGCCTGGTCAGAGTAGGTGATTAATAAATATTTGGCAAGTAAATAAATGAATGCTACCACTTATTTGTTCTCTTAGGCCAGGAATAAAATACTAACAACTTTTGGGAAAACCTTACAACCAGTTTTGTGCCTATCCAACAACAATGGAATCTAGACTAGATTGTTCGCTTTTGAAATGTCTCTGACCCTGCAAACATTTTTATGCAAAATATTTAATTGTATAAATGGTCAGCTGCCTCTAGTATTAAAAAGGATGAATTTTTATAATTTATGTTTGTAAGGAATATTAAGTTTTGTTTATGTAAAGTTGCGCACTTTCTCCATCACTGTATGAGGTCTACTGTTGGTGTCAGAGAAGAGCATTCTTTATGCTTTGACCAGAGCTATATCTTATTGAAGAATTGTTAGCTGCTATGCACAGTATAACGCAGCAGTTGAATGTTTAGACTTGAGTCAGATAGGGTTCAAATTCCAGTTCTACCCCTCACCCGCTCTGCGACCTCGAGGACGTTCATTTATTCGTTCATTCATTGAACATTCACTGAGTGTCTACCGTGTGCTGGCACTTTTCTAGGGGCGAGGGAAATGGCAGTAAATAAAGAAACAAGAGCCCCCACCTTCATCTTGCTTGCATTCTAGAGGGAAGAGAGACAATTTTTAAAAAGTGCCACAGAGAAAAATCCAGTAGAAAAGGGAGGAGTAGATAAGGGAAGTGCAAGAGGAAAGTATGTTTGCAATTTTCAAAAGGTTGTTGCAGCAAGACTTCATGGAGATGACTCTGGAAAAAAATCTAAGTAAGGAGAAAAATGAGTTATGAAGCTACCTGGAGGGAGAGCATTCCGGATAGTGAGAACAGGGGGGGCAAAGGCCCCAAGGTGGGAGCACGCACAGTGTGTTTATGGAGCAGCAAGGAGACTGGGATGGATTTCCATCAGGGACTCACAAGAAGTATGGTTTTCTGCTGGTTCTGTGTGGGGAGTTACAAATAAACACAGTTCCCAGAGGTGCACCGAGGAAGTGCACAGTGTGTGAAAGTACACTAGCAGATGTTTGGCACACTCATTTGGTGCGTTATGAGACCAAGTTGTTTCTGAAAATCCTCAGTGTAGCCATTTCAGTAGATTTATCTTGCCAGGTGATCTTATGGCTTGGTCAGAGTTTTGGAAGTTTCTTGGCTGTTCATCTAAAAAGATCTAGAGAAAAAAATCTTTTTCTTTTTTTATCTACTTTTTATTGTCCTCCCCAAAGCCCCAGTACATAGTTGTATATCCTAGTTTTAAGTCATTCTAGTTCTTCTGTGTGAGCTGCTGCCACAGCATGGCAACTGACAGACAGTGGTGTGGTTCCACGACTGGGGAGCAAACCTGGGCCACCGGAGAAGTGAGTGCCAGACTTGAACCACTAGACCACCAGGGCTGGCTCATAGGGAAAAAAATCTTAATTCTCCAAAATAAAAAGGAAGGTGTATTTCCATGGCTTAAGTTATGGGTGTTACAGATTGATTTGTGTCCCCCCAAAATTCACACGTTGAAGTCCTAACCCGCAATGTGACCGTGTTTGGAGATAGGACCTTTAAGGAGGTAATTAAGGTTAAATGAGGTATAAGGGTGAAGCCCTAACCCAATAGGAAGAGGAAGAGACATAGGAGGACACACACAGAGAAAAAGTGTGTGAGGGCGCAGTGAGAAGGCAGCCGTCTGCAAGCCAAGGGTAGAGGTTTCCCCAGTTACCAACTCTGCCAGCACCCTGATTTTGGACTCCCAGCTTCCAGAACTGCGAGAAAATACATTGCTGTTTAAGTCACTCAGTCCGCAGTATTTTGTCATGGCAGCCTGAGCAGACTAATGCTTTGCAGACAGACTGCCTGGGTTCTAGTCCTGGCTCCATCACTTCCTAGCTTCATTAACTTGGGCTTCAAATCTTTTTGCCTCAGTTCCTCATCTGTAAAATGGGGATAAGTATAGTACCTACTTGCTGGGGTGCTATGAAAGTTACATGAGTTAGTACATGGAAGGGGTTAAGAATAATGCCCCAAAATAACAGCACTTAACCCATTCTTTCGACTACCTGCCAGGGCACAACAAAATCCCTGTCTACTTGGAGCTTATGTTTTAGTGAGGGTAGATACATAGTAAACCATATATGTATATGTATGTATGTGTGTATATATGTATATGAATGATTTCAGGTGGTGGTAAATACAATGAAGAAAAGCAGGGGAGGGGAGGTGAACCTGATGGTGTGGTAGAGAGAAATGCTCTTTTAGCGGGGGTGATCAGGGAAGTCATCTCTAACAAGACAAAACCTGAACAGAGACTTGAAGAAAGTGAGGGAGCCAGTCATGCAACTACCTGAGGGAAGAGTGTTTCATGCCGAGTGAAGAGCAGGTGCCCGAGCTGGAGCACGCTGGGCATGTTGGAAGCCCAGCAGAATGGTTGAGGAGAGACTGGGAAGAGATGGTAAGACGGAAGGCTTGAGAGGTGGCCTGGGGCGACTTCACATAGGACTTGTAGGCCATACAGAGGGCTTGGCTTTTACCCTGAGTGAAATGGAAGCCTCTTCAAGAATTTTTTGTGGGGATGTGATATGTGGTTTATGTTTCAAAGGGGAGACTCTGGCTTCTGGGTGGAGAAGAGGCTGTCATTGGAAGGTAAACATGGAAGCAGAAGACTAGATAGGAGGCTAACCAGTAGTCCAGGGAGACTTCAGGTAATGGGAGCTGGAAGAGGTCAGGCAGTTCCTCCAGCAGATAACAGTGGCCAGATTATTAAAAACAACTACTGGAAGGTTCTGGAAGATGACCAAAGGTAGGTGAGAAGAGTTTACTATAGAAAGATTCTATTGATCAAGTAAGAACTGGGAGTTAATGGCTTTCTTGCTGGGGGTGCTCCAAGCCCCCCTAGATCTGGCAGTGGAAAACTACATCCTTACCAGCTCTAAGTGGCGATGACAAAATTCAGAGATCAGAGCAGACAGAAATTTAAGGGGTACATTCTGGAAGCAGGAGAGCCACAGAAGGGCTGAGATCTAAGATCTGAGCATAAACTCTGCCTGAATCCCCAGATGACCTCTAAACTGCATCTGCGTGGGAGA